CCTGTGATAAGAATTTCTAATTAAGCCTTTTGCTTACTCTTCTTCACAAGGAGTGTAAAATGCTAAATACTCCAACAGATGCTAGCATGGAGGCTTCAATATTCAGGGATACCAAGGAGGGAAAGGTTGGAACCAATTGAGGGCTGTAGGAGCTCTCTGGGGCCTGCTTCATGTATCCAACAATTACCAAATCCTCATGCACAAAAGAAAATCCAGTGCCATTGGCAAACTGTGCATTGAAAGAAATTTTGCATACTACTGATAAATGTTACGTAGTAAATGTCATACCTTTTTCTTGAATGTGCCAAAAACATCAGAGTCCAAATCATTTTGCTGAATTGCTTAAAAGGCAATGATCCACTGCAGTATGATTCTTGTAACTGAATCATTTTTGTGGTCTCTCTGGGTGTTATTAAATTTAATGTCAGAATAGTAGGAAGACGTCTGAAAGCCATTTAATATTGTCACTGGAAAGAAGTTAGATTATGCTCAATTTCTGACATTAATGTGCTACTTAAGATAATTTATCATATTGTGTTATTAAAAAAGACATCCTTTTTACAGTGGCTGCTGTGTAGCATTCCAATTTGCTATTTTTCTTCGCATGGTAGGAAGCCTTTTTCATGCAAAATGTTTTTTCTAGAGCTCTATTCAGTGCTCTTTATAATACTACATCACTTACAAGAGCAACTTTAAGTGCTTGCCTCTTCCGAAGATCCTGTCAATTTCTTTTTTTATGTCAGAATGACAGAGCCTTCTATATGAGACAGCTGAAGTGGTGCATTTAGAGGAAACCTGAATTGCCAAATGTGTTTCTTGGACAGGTATATACATATTAGTTTACACTTACCTGTTTTAAACATTTATTTTCATTTTTTTCCAGGCCATAGCTAAGATACTGCTAATATGATTTACTGATCATGCAGGGTTTTCTTAACTGTGTTGTATGTCCCATTCACTGGTTCTTATGATAGTTTGATGGCAGATAACAAATAGGTACTTAATTTTGTCATCTTTATGGCTGCTTGTTTCCTAATGACTAGAGTGTTATATCTGATATAAATCATGCATCATACTAAGTACTTCTCCATCCATGCATGCAGGCCTCTCTAATCCAAGGTACATATATGCCTGCTGAAATACCTTGAACAGTTGAAACAAAAATAGAAAAAAAAATGATAAAAATACACGAATTCCACTACTCTTTCTGCCTCTAAAAGCGAATCAGTTTTCTTCATGTCTGCTGGGAACAGAGAATCAATTCTTCCTTAATAGAGTACAATACAGAAGTGATTTTTTTAGGTTCTCCCAGGGGAGCTAGATGGTCTATACTAGCATAGCAATTTTGCATATAAATTTGCCATCCATTGGTAGTGGCACTGTATGAAAGGCTTGTAAGAACTACCCACAGTAAACCAATTTACCAAGGGTTATATATCTGTCAGTTACAATTAAATCCATGAAAAATATTGGCTCTGAACTAGGACTTTTGTAATTTGATTTACACTGTAGTTGAAAAAATAAGCGATTTCATTGGAAAAGAGCCTTTATTCAATTGAACGTGAATTCTTTGTAATTTCTTGGTGAGAAATCTTAATTCAGAATGGTAGATGTCTAAACACAGTTATTTAATTAACCTGCTGTTATGTGCCATTTTGTGAACATTGGACAAAATTAGCTTCCTGGCTGGGTGATGCTTGTCAAGGATATGTGTTTCCAGGGAATATTTAGTGTCCATTCAAATTTGATATAATGACATTTATTGCTAAAGACCAAATTGCTTGTTCATTTAAGGATTATGATACTGCTGTAACACAGAATATGACCAGCATTTCTAGAATGGATTCCAGGACAGTGCCAGGACTTTCCCAAAATACAGACAAAGTCAGAGTTTATTTTAGCAATGAAGGCTTGAGCTTATGCATTTTAAAATTTTACATGCTTTTCAATATATGCCTTCTATTTTTTTCTTCTCCTTCTGTTTAATTTTAAGCTTGACAACTATATAAGCATCAAATGCTAACAAAGCATCACTGTAAACACATGAGTCCTGAAGATGCATTGATTTTAAAGAAGGTACCATATGTTGCAGTTATGCTGTGCTAACATATTTGGCTGGGTCAAAGTCTTAATTTCCTCAGCATTCAAAATGCCACGGAGTCTAGTCATTGCTTAATGAATTAGTGGAGCCTTTTCTGTCTGTGTGTCTGGCCTCAAATTAAACTCTCCAGTGTGTTTGGCATCCTTCACTCCACTGGAAGGTGAATGACCAGCTTTCCCGCATGTAATACTTTTTGTAATTGTTGTCTAAAAAAATGGCTAAGAGGTCTGTGATAGTCTTAGGCACAGAATACAACTCATCAGGTTCTTTGTGATAGTTGGGTGATGGTTCCTACTCCCTCTTTGGTCTCAGGGTTGATGGCCCTTCCATCTCTTTTGATTACGTGGTGGTAATTGACCTGGTCTTAAGAGTACAGAAGATCATTTCTAATCTTCCCTTACAGTGTGTAAATCTTTGCTTAGATCTGTCAGCTAAAATTGTCCCGATGCAGCAGCAGCAGCAGCAAGTCCTGTGGGGCGCCAGGGCTCTCTTGGTGACCATCAGGTACCAGATGTGACCTGTTGCAAAGACCTGTAAGCAGAGGACAGGGTGGTAGCAGCTCGGACTTGTTCCTGAGAGGTTTCAATGTCTAGGTGCTAAGCATCTATCTAGATTGGGCTCTCAGAAGGGTTAAAGATGTCCAAGCATAGTGTTTGGGCTTGGGTCTGTTTCCCACAAATTCCTCATATTTGAGAGCACTCTCTAGATCAGTGGTTCTCCAGTGGTGCCCTTGGATGTTTTAAAAACTAATTAAGGTCTGACCATTTTAGTCGTTCTTTACACAAAGAGTTTTTCTCTCTCTGATTCTGGAAGTTACATTTTTTTCCCCAGAAATCTGCTTTTTGTCAGTTTGTCTGCCCTAGGATTCCAGTGATGTGTTCTAAAACAGTGGTTTGACATATATATGTGTAAACACACACACATATATAAAGATGGGCTGACAGATAACCTTACGAAGAAAAAAATCCCTAGTTATTGTGAATCTCTCCTATCTTGCCAGTTACAGTTAAAATTACATCCACTGGTGTGTGTGTGTAGGTAGGTGGGCCTCTCACTTCATGCCCTTTTCCATGGCTTTTCCAAATTATGTGCTATATATGTATTTATTAAATTCTTTATCTTTTTTAATGGCATATTCAAGATGTGTTTACCATCATCTTTTCCCAAGCTCTTTTGATTTTAATAGGATTTCCTTCAGTGATTCCGCTGACCTCCTAGTTCCTGCAGAAACAGGAATTTGGAAAGTTCAGCAGTTGTGTGTTAACCCCCAGTGTACAAAACCCACAAGATTACAGAGCCAGTTAATTAATGAGATACTTGAGTGATTTGCATGATTCAAGATAACTTCAGGCACTGAAAAAAATATTAATAATGTGAATGTATCGATGCTAGTATTTCTTTTGGTTTTATTTGCAGAAATTGAGCTTGGGTACAAACCTCCCCTCTTTGTCAACACACTCATTAAAATTCATCCTCCATCCAATATTCAAGGCATGTAGAAATGTATATATACCAATCCCTCTCTCATTTTTATTCCTTATCTCATGTTTTTAGCACTGGCCACGGAGCCTTACCAGTAGCCTATGTTGATGCAGTATTGATGCAATCGTCTTTTGCATACTGAGAAACATAGATTTTGCTGTTCTAAAAGGAGAGATTTTAGTGATCTTTCCTTCTTGCAGTACTTCATGGGCATTTCCACTTTATTTCCAAGGGAAGTCAGTGTCCAGCCCAGCATCATGAATAAGAGTGACACATTATAACCCTACCATTTCTGGTAGATAACCCTTAAACATTAATGGCCTGGATAATAAGAAGAAATTATCACTTAGATTCAGATTTAGCTGGCGCAGAAACTAGGTTTGAAACGGGTCTTTTGCTACACTGCAAATAATCTTTTATATACAAAACACTAAAAAGGAGCTCCCTGCAGCCCCCCTTCTCTTCTCTCTCCCATCTCCCTTGAAAGCTCACTTTCCCTGGAAAAAAATGAACGTGACCTTTGATGCCTGGTAAGAGTTAGAATCTGATCCATTATGGGCAGAGCGTTTAGTGTCCTCCAGCTTCAGAGAGATGGGCTCCGAAAGCTGATTTGACATATGGGCTTTTGCTGGGGGTGAAGGCATCTCTGTGTTAAGGGGAGCCCTGCTGATGGAGGTAACTCGCTGTTGAGGTTAGGAACAAACCAATTTTCCTCTTACAGTAGCTCTGCTGTAATCTAGTAATAGGGATAAGAGAGAAAAGAAAGGAGTTTTTAGAGCCACGCTTTGAAAACAGCATGTATTTTAAACATTCATTTTAATTGAGTGACCCTGAAGTGGGTATTTGTATATTTATTTATTTTGCCCGGAGAAGGTTATTTTTGACATGCCCCTTGGTGGCATGTCAAGGTTGAGGTAACGCCACACAAAGCTGGCTTCGTGGAGCTTTTATGGGGAAACAGCCTTGAGCCTGTCACCTCTGATGCACTTTAGCTTTTGAAGGAGTCGTTTCATTTATCTGAAGATTCATGTATTTTCTGAGATGGTATTTTCATATTCATATCAGTAGTCAAAAGGAGAGAAAGAAAAGTGCTGAAATCAGGGGACTGCTTGAGTCAAATAGTTGGAAGAATTTGGTGCTACCTTTGCTGGAGCCTCTTGTTGCCTGGAAGGGCTGATTGTTTGAAAAAACGAGGGGAATTTTTTGTATGGATCATTTTCTGGAAAGGGTTTGCTGTGGCAGTGCTCAGCCATACCGCATGTGACTGTGCAGGGGTGCTATTGAAAAGGAGGACCTTTCTCCATCACAAATCCGTGCTTTCCAGCCTGGCTTCCCTATGCAACTCCGCGCAGTCTGCTGCACGCTTTGTGCTTGCGAGATTTGCCCAGCACATTTGGGGTTGCTGTTGGCCACAGCAGTGGATTACAGCTGTTGAACCTCATCCCAGTGCAGAATTGAAGATCTGTAAAGTGATTCCTTGCGCCTGGAATAGTCATTTACTTCAGTGCCAGGTACATAAATTATGTTGGTTCTGACCCGGAGCATTTCATAAGGCTAAATGCTCATAAGTGGGTGTGAGGCAAAGTTTCACAGTTTTCCTAAACAAGAGCGTGATTTCCAAGAGGCTGAAGGAAGCAGATGTGCAGCCCTTGCTGAACTTCAGTCCGCTCGCTTGGCTTCCGTAGGTGGCTCTGGAAATCACAGTGCATGTGTCGGAGCTCTCTAGAAATACTGTGTCAAAATGCCACGTGTAGGACGCAGGCAGTAGCAGTACTGCTGTAGAAATGAACGTTATAAGTGGTTTGTTTTCAGGCTTTGGGACTTGTAATTTTTTTTCTCCCTTCCTTGCAACTCCCATAAATTGTCAGTTAACCACCAGGAGCTGAGCAGTGACAGCATAGATGCACCTGCCTGCCTGGGAAGGCCCTCAGAGAAGCAGCTTTTTGTTAGAAGAATGTGAGCAAGGAATTGAACATTTCCAGACTTGGTTTGGTGTGAATGTGCTCGCTCAGAGCTTTGCATTATTCGAACTGCTTTTCAGTGTGGAACAGTTTGTATGTTCGGCCACGTTAAATACGTGAAAGGTGGGAGGCTAGAGTTTCCTTTACTTTAGGCACAATGCTGCATCTACAGAAGATTATATCCGCAGCTCAAGTACTTAGAAATTGAAGTAGAAAGATTGCAGAAGAGCTAACTGGAGGGGCAAACACGCACCTTTAAAAGCGAGTTCAGTGCAGACCCCAGGGTGGAAGCCAGTCTGGAAAATCTGGCTCTGGTGCTCTGACACACCTAAATATTACAAATGATCATGTCTCGGGAGGGGAGGGGGTTTGGGGAGGAATGTTTTGCCTGGGTAGCTGGGAACTGAAGTTGTCAATTCCTTCTAAATATTTGCAGGTGAAGGTGATGGTGAGGATCTGTCCCTCTCAAGGAGCACATGAAACATCTGAATCCATGTCCTTCCTAAAGGTAGACCCACGAAAAAAGCAAATCACGCTCTACGATCCAGCTACAAGTGGGCCTTCCAACATAGGTCACAGGAGGGGCGTCGTGGCTGTCCCCAAGATGTTCGCCTTTGATGCAGTATTCCCCCAGGATGCTTCACAGGTACTGCAGAAACTCTCATAAACCTCCTGAGTCTTCTCATGGCCACTGCATTTGATTGCCTTAGGAGCCGTGTTTCTGGGGAATTTTGAATGAGTTGCCTTAATGCTTGGAAAAAAAATCAGTAATTAATAGACAAGTGGATAAATTCTTAAGTTTTCAGTTTAGCTGAGATGTAAAATTAAGGAGTTATAGCTGGGGAGATGGATTTGCTGACTGAATTATCTTCCTGCATTTTCTCTTGTTATTGAAAAACACACAGCGAATATGAAATTCACTTTCCATTCAGCTGAATTTTAACCCATGTGATGTCACTGAAATGAAGTCCTTCCCCACTGCTTTCAATGGGAATGAGCTTGTGCTTAAAGTTAAGCTAAATGCTGTTAGAGATCACTCCATGGGATTGCTATTGAAGCAAATGGGGAGCTTTTGTATTTTTCTTTCCTTTTCCAGTTTGTTTATGCTGTGTATTTGCTGATTCTTGATCATGGTGCTGGTGGTGCATGTGTTTCTCTTACCTTGCAAGAGGGTGTATTTACTGGATGCCTAAAATTCCCTTCTAAGCAAAATTGGGGTGCCGAGAAGAAAAAAAAAAAAAAAAAACATACAGCAGCTTTAAAAAGGGAAACAAATCGAGCATAGTGTGGAGAACCACTTCAAGTCTTCAAGTTTAAACTGCCTGGAAAAAAAAGGGTTGGTGAAAGAAAAATAAAACGTTCAAGGTGAAAATGGTTTGTTTAAGTTGATAAAGCAAGACAAGATCAAATTCAGAAACCCATCATTTGGTCATTTACTCTTTGTTTTCTTTTTGGCTCCCAAATCTGATACCTGCAAATGTCTGTTTGGTCTGGAACTGGACGTGGCTGTTTCTTACCCTTACTGAAGGTCCCGTTGCCAGCCTGGCTGCGCGGTGGCCCTGGGCAGTGTGCAGCCGTGCTGGTTTTGACACCAGTCCTCTAGGTTTTTGACTCCTGTGCGGGCTGGGCTCTTTCGGGTTGTCATGGGCCCTTCCACGGGCCTGTTCATGGTGTGGCCGAGTGATGCCGGCCAGCACAGGGACATCGGTGCAGGCGTCACTGCGCAGGACACGTGTCCCACTGTGCACCTGCAAACAGAGCCTCAGCGTTTCACCGCAGTTGCATATTTTTCTCCCTGGCCCAATTACCATTCTTAATATATGCTATTGTATTTGAAACTTTCATGGGCATGAATAAACTGGTTTTAGTACACTCAGGTATTTTAGCAAGTTCTCTTTACTGACAATGATGTTTCCCTTAGAAAACGAAAACGTAATACTGTGAAATCCTATTCAAGGATCTTAATGCATTTTTTCCAATATGAATGTCTTTTTAATTTCTGTGAGCACTCTTGAGTAGCTTTATTTCAATGGAGTTGCTACTATTGGTGAAAACCCCTGGCTAAGCTATTATAGCAGCAGGAAGCCTGGTTGGATAGCATGCAGTTTGCTGCATTAGTCAATATTGCAAGAAAATTGGTTTAATAGAACTGAAAACTATTTTAGGCGATAGCAGCAGATTTTATTATTTTTTTAAAATAGCATAATTACTAAAATAATGCAACTGATGCCGTGAACATGGGGAGTATTGTGCCTCAAAAAATCTAAGTCATTCTTTTCATGCAGAAGAATAGCAAGCCCATAGCAGTATATGCTCTCTTACTTATTTGTCTCCACTCTTTCTTTCAGGCAGAGGTCTGCTCTGGAACAGTAGCAGAAGTAATCCAGTCTGTTGTGAATGGTGCAGATGGCTGCATATTTTGCTTTGGTCATGTCAAGCTTGGTGAGCTCCCAAATTCGTTACAGTTAATTACTATGTCAGCCTGGTAATTACATGCTGTCAGCTTCTGGAACAATAAACCTGGAGTATATGAATAGATTAGAATTTCTTTTTAATTAGCTTTGCAAACTTATCGTGGTTTATTTCTACACAGGAATTCTAAGCTTTAATTTGTAAAGGTAAAACGGAGCATCAGATTAGTTTATTCAGGAGCAAGCTTATATAGGTGTATTGTGATGAAAATCTAAAAATCAAGGGTGTTCTTAAAATTTAATTTGTTTTGGATCTCAGTTACAAAAATGGCAAAGCTAATTGAATAAATAGTAATGGATTCATAATTGAATAGTTTGCATTTTTGCGTCTGTTACTTCTCGTTATCTGTGCAGCACATGTCATCACATAGAGTGTGCAGTGGTGATAGGATGAAGAGAAACTGTTTTGTGTATGAAAGGTGAATTAAGTTCACTTTTGTCTTCCCATTCTAGGAAAATCTTACACCATGATTGGAAAAGATAATTCCACACAAAGCCTTGGTGTCATTCCCTGTGCGATTTCTTGGCTCTTCAAATTAATCAATGAACGTAAAGAAAAAACTGGGACTCGTTTCTCTATTAGAGTATCTGCTGTGGAGATCAGTGGCAAAGATGAAAACCTTAAGGATTTGTTAGCTGAAGTAGCCACTGGCAGCCTTCAGGATGGCCAATCTCCCGGGGTTTATCTGAGAGAAGATCCAATATGTGGAACCCAGGTACAATGCCTATCAGAACACAGATTTTCTGAGCCTGACTTTCTTCCATCTTACTGACTACAATTATAACAACTTTTGAGACAGTAAAAAAATTATTGCTTTTAATTTGTAAGCCCTGCTCCTATGATGTACATATTTGTTTCTTTTAGTGCCCTAGAGATTTAGCCATTTCAGTAACAAAAAAAATAAAAAAATCCCTTGTTAACTAATTAATCATTTTCCTTTTTATATTCTAGCTCCAAAACCAAAGTGAGCTAAGAGCCCCGACAGCAGAGAAAGCTGCCTTTTTCCTTGACGCTGCAATTGCTGCCAGAAGTACCAGCAAACCTGAATGTGAGGAAGAAGACAGGAGGAATTCACATATGCTCTTCACTCTCCACATATACCAGTATCGCATGGAGAAGAGTGGCAAAGGAGGAAGTATGAATCATTTTCCCAAATTGCTTGTTTTTAAATGACTTGGTTTGGGGTTACTTTAATAATAATTTGCAATAAACTTATAAAGAAAAAATGAGGTGAACCCTCAAGCCAGTGAACTTGGATAGCTGTAGCTAATATCTGGCTTCCCTGGCATTAATATTTAATTTGGGCATTATCCCATGCTGCATTCATTATTTCTCTCATTTGAATGTGTCTTGAATACTCAGTCTGGCGTGGGTCCCTGCAACCATGTGATGTACAACTGTTGTTCCCCTTATTGTTTTAGTGTCTGGAGGACGCAGCCGCTTGCATCTCATTGATCTAGGGAGCTGTGAAAAAGTGCTGAGCAAGACCCGAGATGGAGGAGGCTCTCTCTGTTTGTCTCTCTCTGCCCTGGGCAATGTAATTTTGGCCTTAATTAATGGTGCTAAGCATGTGCCATATAAGTAAGTGAATTATTGCATGCATTACCTTAAATATGTGGCTGGTGTTACAGGAACAATGAATTGCATCAACAGTGTACTCTTCACATAACTAGAATTTAAGGAAAGTTTGATCAGAGAGGGATTGATCTTCTTTCAAGATCATTTACGATTATATTGTATATTTTGAAAGTCCTGTAGTAATATAAAATTCCTATTCAGCTGACTAAAAATCCTATGGATACTGTTATATACTTAATTTTGGCTGAAAACGTGTGTGTATGTAGAGGAGAGACTGTGGTTTGAAAAACAGGGTAATTTTCAAAAGAATTTTTCTCCTTCCTCCTCTTTCTCCTGGATTTGGAGGCCAGTCTCAGACAGCTGGATGAATGCAGTGAATATTTTCATTAAAAAATCATAGTACTTCCCCTAATTCTGTTAAAAATTCAGAAAATACCAAAGAGCTCTATGAAGTATTGTTATCAAAGAGCTGTTTATCGATATGGCTTTTTGAGTGATACACATGCTAATCTTTTCAGTTATTATGCTGTGTTATTCACTAGCATGCTGTACCACAAAAGTGAACATGTAGATGTATTGCTTCGTGGGAATGTGCTTGACAGTAACATTATGTCAAAGACACCTGTGAGGAGCCCGGCCTGAAGACAGCATCCTCCTTGTAAACCCCTCTGCAGAACTTGGCTTGCAGTACTAAAAATTTAATTGCTTCTTGTCTTGATGCGTTAGAACTTAAGGCCTTCGTTATCAATCATGTCATTTCACATATTTATCTAGTGTGGCATCTCAAACAGGTGTCCTGTCCTTGTGTTTGAGGCAGAAAATAGGTAATTTTCTCAGGCTAGTTGCTCGGTTTGTTGATGCAGCAGAGAACGGGTGGGTGTTTAGAAGAGAGAAGAGTAGTTCCTCAGGAGTGATCCCTTTGTCACCTGAGCTGGTCTGGAGAGCAGAGACATGGTGACAGTTCCCATGTGCATGGGCCAGCTCAGAGGAGTGGGCATGAGCAGTCTCCAGGGTGCTGTGGGGTCTCTGCTGGAGAGATGTCTTGGAACACAGCAGAGGACAAAGCAGGACAAAGAGGACTTCTCGGTTTTGCTGTCTGAAGATGAAGACTCGCATCTCTGGAGAGGCCTTCAGAGAGGAGAGTCAGCAGGCATAAGGGAAACTAAATCAGCTGGGATGGAACTGATAATAAATTTCTGATATCAAACAACATGTTTGTTTAGGATCTTTTCATCGTTTCTGTTAACTTTTCTTCATATCAGAATTGTTTGTGTATAGCTCTCGGAGCTTGTATGTCCAGAGACTAAGTCTGCTCAGATAGAAATCTAGCACCCATGTGCTGTTTGGGTAATACCAGCTAGGCCTGAGATAACTAAACTAGATTTATATTGTTTTAAATTTCAAAGTAACAAATAAAATGACTTGTCATACTGCAACTACTTATGCAGATAAATTGTCAAAATGATAGCATCTTTGTATGGTGCATTTGGACATGTTTTAAATATGGTCAAATAATAGCAGCATATTTCTTATGTATGTGTACACGTATACATGCATCTATCCTATGATAATGAAAGCACAATATGTGGTGCAAAAAATCTGCAAAAGATTGTAATTTCTTGAAACCCTTCTGGTGTTCTCATTTGTTACACAGGGACAACAAGTTGACAATGTTGTTGAGGGAGTCACTTGGGAACATCAACTGCAGAACAACCATGATTGCGCATATTTCTGACTCCCCAGCCAATTATGCAGAAACTCTCACAACCATTCAGCTTGCATCACGAATCCACCGAATGAGAAAGAAGAAATCCAAGGTTGGTGCACAAACAAGCTGCGATTAATTCATTTGAAAATGAGTTTTCTTAACCCCTTGGTGGGGGAACGTGGGATTTCTCAGCAGTAAGAAGTAATACAAAATGCATAAAAGCTCAGGAGAGAAGTTGACAAATGGCTTGGCACAGAGCCATTATCCCTCCCCTTGATCATTAATCCTGAAATTCTCTTTCTTTTTGTTGCAAACACGTATTCTTTCATTGCTTATATGTGGAACTATTGCAAAGGCTTCAATTCGTGCTAATTAAAAATCTATAAGAAAGGAAAACTGTTGAGGAGAAGACGATGTGTAATATTTAATGAAAATTATGTGAAAAGGTGTGATTATTACATTGATATAGTAAAGTGTATGTAGCATGACTTTTTATTCTAATTCACACTGTAATGTTTTGCACTAGATGTGGTTGTGACTGTGCACGCAAAGCTCAGTATATATTGGATACCTTAGTTTCCTTAGTTTTTTTCATTCGTTCATTCATACCACAATATTGATAACTTAGTCTTTACTGATCACTTGCAGTATGCATCCAGCTCATCTGGAGGAGAGAGTTCATGTGAAGAAGGACATGTCCGAAGACCACCCCATTTGCGACCATTTCACCCACGAACTGTTGCCCTTGACCCTGACCTTCCTGTCCTGAGCATATCCAGTGATCCTGATTATTCTTCCAGCAGTGAACAGTCTTGTGATACTGTCATTTATGTTGGTCCCAATGGTGCAGCTTTGTCTGACAGGGAATTGACAGATAATGAAGGTCCCCCAGAGTTTGTTCCCATAATCCCATCCCTAAACAAAAAAAGAAGTAAAGACAATTCTGCTATTGGTAGAAGTTCTGACAAGGATCATTTTAAATGCAACACTTTTGCTGAATTGCAAGAACGGTTAGAGTGCATTGACGGAAGTGAGGAACCCATGAAATTCGCTTGTGGAGAAAACTCTATTGCATCCAGTTGTAGTCCAGTCCCTGGAGGTACAGAGAATGCACAGACTAAACTGATAAAGGAGAAGATATCTTCTCCTTCTGGAGGACTTAGGAAACCAGTTCCACCGGAAACTGCATCTTCAAAAAAAGGATATAATCTTCCTTTCCAGGCTGTTATGCCGAGGAATGGCAATTGTCATGAAAAGAGCACACCCCACATCAGAACAGAGCATTCCAAGCAGCAGAGCAAAGCTGATGGCAAAACAATAGACTCAGCACTGGAGGGAGAACAGGAGAGAGAGACAATCACAGATTCTCCAAAGTCCTCAAGGTGCAACTCTTCAAGGAATCACGAGCAGAATAAATCCACAGCTGAACCGGTCATTAAAGAAAAGTCCTCATATGTGAAGAGACCCTTGCCGAGCCCAGCACCCCCTCCTCCACAGCAGAAGGAGCAAGTGCTGAGCTCCAAGGCCGAGAATTCAGAGTTGGACAATAGCAATGCAGTTCGGGCTCCTCCCGTGGGGATGAGCAAGCAGATGGCTAACAAACCAGAGCAAAACCCAACGGGAAGCACGTTTCTGGTTGGTGGCAACACCCAGAATCAGTCGGGTGCTATAGAGGTACACAGCTTCCGGTCAGCATTCAGAGGGAAATGCTTTGATCGGGATATATTAACCACCACGGTGACTTTGCAGCAGCCTGTTGAGCTGAATGGAGAGGATGAGCTTGTTTTCACGGTGGTGGAAGAGCTATCCATTAGTGGGATTTTAGATAATGGAAGACCTTCCAGTATCATTAGTTTTAACAGCGACTGCTCCCTTCAGGCCCTTGCTTCAGGCTCCAGGCCAGTTAGTATTATCAGCAGCATAAATGATGAGTTTGATGCTTATACCTCACAGGAAAGTTCTACTGGTGTAAATATTGATATTGTTGTGCCCTTTGCTAAGGATCCTTTTACCAGCAGCAGACGCTCCTCCATCAGTTCATGGCTTAGCGAAGTCAGCATCTGTACAATTGAAAGTGATGGAGCACATTCTAGTGACAGTTTTGTTGCACAGTCATCTTACAGCTGTAATAAGTCTGAGGAACTATTCAACTTGGATTCACCTAATGTACCCGTACCACTGAAAAGTGCTCTGAATGACAGTGGGTTTTGCTTCTCTGAGATAGAGAGTGAGAGCATGAGTTCCAGCAAGCTGTCCTCAGGCATCAGCAAAAGCCCCCAAACCCCAGAAACTACCAAAGCATCTCAGATAAAAAGTGCTTTTTGTGTCACTGATCAGCCCATAAGAATAAAATCTATTAATTCTCGAGATACACCTGTGATAGAAACTATACATTCTAGTCTTCCTAGGAAAACAAAAACTACCTCGTCTGCAATCCACCATAATACTGTCCTCAGCTATAAAGAGCTGCAGAATCCACATTGTATATTTGAAGATCCTTGGCTCTTGCGCACGGATAATCAGTTGGAAACAAACCCTGCAGACTCAGTGCTGTCTCCAAAATCTCACACATTTGGTACTGATAGGCAGCCAGGAAAAGCTGCCCAGTATTTCAGTGCAGCATCCAGGCCGACTAAGTCGCAGACTATGCTAGCCTGTTCTCAGAGAGTTGTGGATGGTTGCGAAATGGCCTGCAAATCTTCCAGTGGAGCTCCAAAGAAGTCAGAAACTCCGATGAAGATGCCCCAGCTGAAGAGAGGAGCCACCACGCTGGGTGTGATGCCAGTATCACACACTAACAGTACCTTCTCAGAGGCTACGACCAGAGGGAATGTGGATGCTCCCATGGCAGCTGGCAGCTTGAAATCGTCACTGGGAAAGAAAAGCACCCCTCAGAAATCAAGCCTGCTACCTAAGCCAGGGGGGCCAACACCTCCAACACCTCCTGTACGCAAATCGAGCCTGGAGCAGAAACCAGTTGGTCTGGGTAATGGTGGGGGTAAAGCTGCAGGCCTGGACTTTGCCAGAGCTGCCACGCCAAAGGCTGAAGATGAAGCAGATTGGCGGTTAAAAGCTGGATCTTGTGCTACTGAAAGTGCCAGCAGTAAACTGAACCTGAAGGGTGACCACTCTTTGCCTAAGATGACCTCAAGTTTGAAGACAAAAGCATCAAAGAGCGAAGCCGTCCACCGCTACGGGAGTCACATGTCCTTGGAACGGTGCGACAGCCTCACATCAGTAGGGTCCAAAGCAAACATGGCAAGGGAAAACGTGAGTGCTAATAACAGCAGGGCAGGGCGCTCTGTCCCGAGGCTGGGGGTCCCTCCTGTTGCCTCTAGTGTGACCTTACCACAGTCCTTCACTACCCCTATGCCCTGTAAGAACAGCCAGGCCAAAAGCACAACCAACCCGAAGGTCCAAACCAATGGAAATAAAAACCGGAACCTCTCTACCAGTGGCTCAAAGTCCCTCAGTTCCTCAGTCAAGTCCTTGACACAGCCCGTTGGGAAGGGCTCAAGTGTGGCCCCGAGCAGCAAGGCGGCCCCCCGCTCTGTGCAGGCGGTCAGCAGCAAACCCGGCCGAGGCACCATTATGGGGACCAAGCAGGCCATGAGGGCGGCCAACAGCCGCGTGAACGAGCTGGTGTCGGGCGGCTCTGCCAAGATGGGGCATTTCCGAGGCTCCACAGACTCCGACAGCGGCAACGACAGCGGCATCAACCTCAGCGACGAGAAGTCGCCGCTCCCGGTGCTGCCGTCTCCTTACAGCAAGATAACGGCGCCCCGGAGGCCTCAGCGGTACAGCAGCGGCCACGGCAGCGACAGGGAGGCAGCAGCGGCTACGAGAGCATGATTCGGGACAGCGAAGCGACGGGCAGCGCCTCCTCGGCACACGACTCCATGAGCGAGAGCGGCATGTCGTCACCGGGCCGCATGAGGAGCCTGAAGTCCCCCAAGAAGAGATCAACAGGTAAGGAGCTTGAGCTGCCCAAAACACACAAGAAATGTCCCTGGGGATGTTGAGTTTTCCTGGTGCCCCCTGCAGTGAGGACAAGGTTGTTTGGCTGGGGGTAGACGCTGCGCAGCGCTGGGTGCGCCGGCATGCGTTAGAGGCACCCGCGTACGCGAGCGCAGAACCGACTTGTCATTTATTGTACTTCAAAGCCGCCTCGCGGCTGCAGGTGTGACCCAGGTGCTGCGTCCCGGGGGGCAGGAAAAGCGCAGCGCGCCCCGGGGCACTTTCCATCTCCCTGCAAGGAGGAGAGCGCAGATGGCTGCAGGCAGATGGGGGAGCCCAGGAGACGGGCGGGAGGACGTTTCTCGGCGGGATGGCGGCGATCACAGCACGCGCACGGTGCCTTCTTAGCATCATGCAGCAGGACTGGGGAACGTTTTATTTATTTATTTATTTTCTTTTATTTCACACAAAGGGGAACAATTACGGTTCTGGGACGACCTTGGTGATTTCTTTTTTTTTTATGAGGAAGGATTGTGGGTCTGCAGGCTGGGTAAGAAGTGAAGAGAATGGCAGTAATGCTGTTGGCTACACATTTATAAGGAATTTTAGTGAGATGGGCTGGCACTTCAGTTCGGAAATGGGGGAACAGGCTTGAAGAAGAGGGTTTGTGAATCATTGAGGACTGCTGAATTTGCAGTAGATTATCCAAAGGTAGGAGTTAAGATTAAGAAAGAGAAGGTAAGGTGTAGGAAGAAGGGTGCATATGCAGGATGCAGCAAAGCTTAGCAGAACGCTACCAGCCAATTACAAAATTATTGTATTTTTATAGCAATTTTGTGAGGAAATTATAAAGTGGACACACAGATCCTGGGAGCAACAGAAAACTCGGGGCAAATGCCATAAAATGGGTGGTTCCCACTCCTGCACTGTGTTGAAGTAGACACGTCCAATTGCACCATGCAAAGTGATGATGCAAAAGCCAAGACCTCCTTTCCTGGTCTCCAGTGCCTTTCTGTGCTCCTTTAACGCTGTAAGTGCTGCTGTCTGTAGCCTGCTTCAGCATCCGGCTTGACTGAGTTGCTTCAGCAGATGATAAATCAGTTTGGAGACTTACTGCAACATTTACTATAGTTTTCTTTCCATAAGACATCAACCTCTTAAACCTTTCCTACAAATCAATATTAACAACTGTATAAGCTACACACGTATTGAGAAGGTATTACCCATGATGGATTTGTATTTGTTTTTGCCCCGGGAAATGCTTATTACACATTTAAAAATGACAAACTGTTTCTTTTTTCAATTGAAATTGCTCTGAAATGGTAAATTATCTATTACTTTTTCAGCGTTTTACACTTTGACGCACTAACGTATTTTATACATGAAATGAGCTTTCTTAGGAGCTTCATTAAATATTTCTTACCAGATGGGTTTTGTGTAGACCCATTATTGACCTAAAATATATTGTCATTATTGTAAAGTGTTGGCATATTCTTGGAGTAGCTTAAATTGTCAAGCAATGTGGGAGACTTGCAGTCTCTGAACTGAAGGAAGCTTTGGAAGGGAAGCCCATCCTGGGGACAGAACCTACTTCTAGAAATGTCAGTGGAAACCATCTCCTCTCTGTGCCCACCATTATGAAGAAAATTACCAACTCTTTTGAAGGACACAAGTCAATCTCTGCTTCAGGAAACTTGAATGCTAGCAGATGCATCATGGTGACAATTTTTTGCTTTGCTATGAGATTTTATGGCTCATAAACCTGGAGTCATGCCGTTTAGGAGCAGATGAGGTTATATGCTCACCTTTTGAGTGCTGCTGCATGGGCAGTGATATGTGGACATGAGAGGTGACGCAAGTTGCAGCTTGGCTTGTTACTGCCTTCTGAAGTGCCAAATACATCCTAATCCCATGAAGTAATTGAAATTTGTTGGTATTTAGCACTTTAAAGCACATGTAGTGATCCTGGAAGGAGCTGTTTGCTTTTGGGAAGAGGTAATACAATGAGATCTTAGCAATGGTACTTGATAGCCCAGATATTTTGGCTTGTCTTTAGCAGGAGGAGGAGGGGATTTTCAGAGTCTTCTGCTGTTATGAGTACTGGTTTCAAATCTCTTTGCTATCTCAATGCCAGAGCAAGTCAGTGAATACCATTACTGCCCACCAAAGAGAACATAATGCAGGCAGAATATTTTTGGAAGGGTAAAATAAAGAACTGATGCTCCAACATTTTTGGAGAAGAACTGCTCTTCTTCCTATCAGTAAGCCAAGAGGAACATCCCTCATCAAGACAGTAATTCAGTTAGCTCTCTGAGTGGGTTTTACTAAAAGGAAAAGATCAAGGGAAGCATTTCCCCATAAGCATCATGAGAATTTAGATCTTTGATTTCCTGCAGTACCTTCTGCAGTCTGTTAGTCCTCTGAGTCTGAGGAACACTTATCTTTTGTATTTCAGGTCTCCAGCGTCGTAGACTGATTCCTGCTCCGCTGCCGGATGCTGCTTCCCTTGGTAGAAAACCCAGTGTCACTGGCCAATGGGTTGATCTACCACCTTTGCCAGGCACTTTAAAAGAGCCATTTGAAATTAAAGTTTATGAGATTGATGATGTGGAACGATTGCAGCGACACAGACAAGAGGAAACTGAGGTCAGCACATATTTTATAAGAAGTAAAGACAATGTAAATTACAGTATATAGGCAGAATCCTTGCTTGAATGCAGGACTGGTGTTCAGGAAATTGATTGCAATTAAAGTACTATAATTATTAATTTTACATTTCATATGTTGGGGTACTCTTAACACAGAAAATGAAAATGATTACTGCCTAAAATTAATTGTGTTTAACATGACTGATGGTGTGAATGGAAGTTACCAGTGAATACATTATGAGAAGACTTTATAGTTGTAGCCTGCCTGTCTGGTGAAACCTACAGCCTCTCTCAACTGTAGGGTCATTAACTCCTTACGTAAATAGCAAGATTCTATTACATCAGGGATGCACTGAGTTTAATTTACTTCTAATTGGAAAACAGTTCCACTAATTCTATTTTGGAGACCAGAATTCTATATTTTACTGATGCCTTTTTCCTGTTTCTTTCATAATAGCCTTTCCCGGATGTTGAGAAGGTAGGAGTGCTTTTAAGAAAATCAAAATTCTTATGGCTTAGTATTAAATATTATTAATTATCATTAGGCCGTGTAGTACTGCTGGAAAAAAAAGTCCTCTGCAAACAGGACTAATTACAGAATGTAGCAGAGATGTTTGCTAATTCAGTAAAGTGCAACAAATGCTGAAGTGATATAGCATGCTGTTCCTCTAGATTAGAATCCATTAATGTACACTTCAAAAAACAAAACAAAAAACCACAACCAAACCAAACAGCCCACCTGCTAACAAGCAATGAGCTGGGAGCAATTTGTGTCAAACTGTCGGAGGTCAGTTCATAACACACAAATTCATGAAATTGTCTTTCTGTGTCTTAAAAGGGGCTGATGTATTTCCATACAAAGCTGAAGATACTAGAAAGGCGCCAGCAACGAATCAGAGAAGTAAAGGCAAAGCATGAACTTTTGAAGGAAGAGTTGGAGGAGACGAAGTGCAGGTTGATGATGGATCCAAATAAGTGGAAAGAAGACTGTAAGTCTTTTTACAGAAGCAGCAGCATTATTAGCATGTGACCAGTTTTAAGCATATGACTGGTCCCATTGGCAAAGTGAGCATTTGTTTAGATTATTGGCTAAACTGAGCTCTGCGACGGCATGAGCATTGCTGTGATACAGCCTTTGCTTTCAGGGAATGAACCAGGAACGAACGAAAAACTCAAACAGGAGAGGAAGTAGAAACAATGCAGAGACTCCCTGTGATTATTATAAATAATAAATATTTATATAACCTTTTTAATCCACTACAGTGGATTTTCCTTCTTTCCAAAGAAGGGAAAACTATTCTCATGTGCATGTTACAGCTGGGAAACTGAGCTGTGAGATTTGTTCGCAGACTGAGTACAGTGCTTGACTGGAACCTCAAAGTAGAGCGTTGCTTCTGCTGAACACCATGATGAGGCTCTGTAGTTCAACAGAAATGAAATTGTGCTCCACATAATTTTCTCCCTTATGATGAGACACAAGTTGAATTTGATCAGTAGAATAATGTTTTATGCTGAGCTGTTTCTCTTACCCACTGTTTTTTGGTTGACAGTTGAAGTGGATCCTGATCTCGATAAGGAGTCGCAGGAGTACCTGGAGGCACTGGAACAAGTGACAGAGGAACTGGAGCAGTGTGTTAATCTGTGCAAGTCGCACATCATGATAGTGACGTGTTTTGATATTGGAATGATAACAGATGCGCAAGATGGAGTAAGGGAAGTGGAGGTTTGAAGAGAGATTTTCAAGGGACCGAAGGAAGTGAAGCTGAATCGTCCGATATGAGGAAGAAAAGAGAGTACGGAGCTAGAAAGTGAAGGAGGAAACGTGAAGACTAAAAAGCAACAATGAATGTTGTAGGAGAATGAAACAGCTGAGGGATGGGAATGTTCATAAATCATTTGGTGCCTCAACGTGACCTGAACTGTACAAAGATAAAAGGAACAGATACTGCTTCTAACAGAGGGAAGCGAAGAAATTGAGAACAAGCCAAGACTTTTAAAAACAAACAAACAAACAATGGAAGTGCCTTTAAAGTTCATTTGATTTTCATTTTTGTATTTGGTGCTAGAATTAAAGCCAGCAAACCTAAGCAGACCACAAAATGTATTCCTATGAAATATTTTATACTGTATAGTGTATTTATGACTATATGTAAAAAACAAACAACATTGTAGCAAAAGCAATAAGTAAATTATGTTTTCATACCTGAACTTGCCTTCTTGTTTCATAGAAAAGCTGTTTTATGTAGCAGATTATAACTGTATTATAATTGTTTTCTTGGTTAGGATTCAAGATATTTTTATGAACATTTATCTATTGAAAAGTTGTATTATGGCATTTTGAGACGATTCTTTTACCTTCAGGTTTTGTATTATTACTTTTTCAGATCAAAATAAATGTTTGTTTTCCATTTTATATATACATATATAGATATATATTAACTGCTTACCTACTTCTTTGGTTACTAACCTCACTTATCACAGACCTGGTCTTTTTGGAGTCATTAACTTAATGTGAGGAAGTCTACAAAGGGCACTGTGCTTTGTTTTGTTTTGTTTTCCTCTCTGACTGCAGGAATTGAGAATTGCGTTTATTACCAAAACCATAAAACAAGCAAAAAAAGAAACAAAAAGTTTTTGTAAATGTTAAGTTAGGTCCATATTTTTATATAGTTTTGACTATAAATATAGCATTTGCATTTTGAACTTTTAAGACAAATAGTATATCTTTTTACAGTTTTTCTAAGGAAGGCAAACCCTCAGGATCAAGTTTATACATGCTGCATGAGATTTGTGCTTTTTTGAAGGAGGCCACTTAAGTGTGGAACTATTGATAAATTGTTGCCAAATGGATACTTTTGAAAAGGTTTGATAGTGTATGTAATACCACATTTCATAATGAATCATATTTTCTGATCATCTTCCTTTTTATGGTTTTTTCAAATCCTTTGTACAAATATGTATTATAACAGCTTGCTTCAGTTTTTATCTGTGAATAAAAGATACATCTATTGTTATGATTGCTCCGTGCTACTTATGTGATTTTAGTGCCGTAAAGAGAGAAGATGGCCTGTGGTACAGAGTATTAAGTGTCACATTATATTATCTCTTTGCCCAAGAGAGATAACTGTGAACTGAATTTTGACATTAGTCATAATAAACCAATCAGGAAAGAGAGATGAAACACCAAAGGGTAAAATAAATAGCAATGATAATACTTATATTCTCTTAGCACTTCACAGAGTTTACAGAAAAAGGACCTGAGGCTCCGATAGTTGTTTTCCCTGATGGAACTAAGCAATTAAAAATGGGGTTAGAAAGACAAGAAAACTTCAGGAACTGAATCAGCCATCCATGGATAGGTCCATTATAACAAGCCAGCAGGTTCATTCCTCTTCAGCGCTGTTGCATTTGCTGGATGGAAGGTAGCTGTGCCCAGTCCTCATCTCCCACTGCTGCCAGCTGCTGTAACTCCAGGCAGATTTCATGTAAAGCTGTTGCTAGTAATGGTGTAATCTTGAGTAGCTTCAAGGTATTTGGCTGAATAGCTTGTAATACATGGTGTTTTTCCTTCCCTCTTTCTCTTTTATGTGGCGCTCGGATAGTTCTGTTTCCTCAGCTGTCCTTGTTTCTGGTCTTCTATTTGTGCCTCCTCACAGCAAGGAGTGTTTGAGAGAGTCCTGCCCTCAGGTGTCAAAACTGAGCTGAATCCTGCCACGGGGAGCCATGTGCTGCTTCCTGCTCCATCCCTGTGAGGTTTGTGCCGGGAAGGGGCACACCTCACTTTGCCCATCCATGCTGGAACTGCCCTGCGTTGTGAGCGTGGGGACCTGGTGTCCAGCGTTTCTGCAGGAGCCTCCTGCTCATACACCTGGTTGCCACATGTTTAGAACATTCTAAATTCCTGTTTATTTTGTGTGCGTGTGGAAAGTCACAGACAATTCTTCCAAAGAGAAAAACCCGTGTAACAGTTTAATACATTTTTTTGAATGGACACAAGGGATTTTTTTTTTATGCTAAAAAAAGAGGCTTGAGCCTCTTCTTAAAGATCTCAGTTATGTCCCCTCTTGGCAATATTTAAAGCATGTAAAATAAAAATGAAGCCACTAATCGCCTGCCCCATGTTATATGAACATGGCAATTTGCTGAAATGCTCAGCTATATAATGTTTGTTGATCAGTCCTGCATTGTATGTTACTTTCTCCTTAATTTTAGCTATGGTTATGTTTTCCACAGAGCAGCAAAAGCGACATTTCAGGGCTGCTGGGTTACACGTCACTAGCATACAAATTAAATGCATTTGGCCTCTGGCTCAGTGGCACAAACAAGCCAGGGATACAAAATCAGATGAGGGACTGGTGGATGAAATAACACACTTTTTTCCCTATGCAAATTTTATTTTTTATCTGTAGATGTGGAGAGTAAATTATCTTCCATATATCAAGAGAAGTTCTCAGATCTTGTAATATTCCTTTTTAGTTACTTCTGCAATTCTATCCAGTTAAAATTTATACAAATATATGCTTAGCATATGATTCAAGTCTATTTTGCAAAAGACTTAATTATATAATGTTTTAAGTGATAATTGCCAAATGAGGCTGGATGCCTTATTTCATTAATTTTCCACTGAGATTTAGTGATTTAAGAGAGTCATTAAATCACACACTTGAAGAATTTATGTTTTTGAATTTGTTATGGTATCAAAACAAAAACTTAAATGCACTAGCACTGGAGCACTGCACGAATTCTTTTTTGCAGGACTCATTCCCACTGGAAAGGCCTCCATTTTTCCACATGCCCCAAAATGCTCCCTTCCCTCCCTTGGCTGCAGATCTTCCCATAAAATTTCTTCCTCCTCCTTCCTTGGGGAACACTTGTTGGGTCCCCTGGGGATCCAGGCTGCTGAACAGGCTCATGTCACACTTAGCAGCAGGACTGGGTCCCCTCAAAAGTGTCCTGGATTTTGGAGATGGCCTCCAAGCTTAGTTTTGCATCTGCCTACCCAAGAGTTATGGGCTAGTAAATAAAACTACTCCTGGAAACTGTCAGAATTTGCAGGCTTTGACAGACAAGTCAGTCAGTAGGCACTGCTCTAAGTTGTGTTTCTGCTAACCACGTACTAAGGAATGTCCATCTGTGGGGATATTGGTTCAAGTCTTTGGAAATGCAGTTGATACAAACAGGTTTGCTATAGAACAATCTTACGGTGTGTATGTAAAACTCATTTAATGTATGAGTAAAATCTTTCCACTTGCAGTGCTTCTGGTCTAATCTGTTCCAGCTTAGACATTTTTAGGACACTCTGAACTGTGGGTTTGAAACATCAGTACTAACAGAGAATGCAACAGAAATACGAGATTGTTTGTTCTTTTTTCAGCATGTGGAAAGTGTTTCATTTATTTCTATTTCAAGATGCTCGTGTATTTTGTTCCTAGTTATAAAGCCATGTTTTCCAGTCACTTGCATTTTATTTTTAAAGTTATGTGCAGAACATAATTCCACAGGCAGCTGTTCTATATTGTGGCTACAGGCAGGGTTTAAGGCAAAAATGTTAGCTATAAGATGACCTCTGTATCAGATGTCCGCATTGGACACAAATAAAAAAATGGATGGTGTATATGGGCCCAAGCTCGTTAGATCATTGAAGTACCTGCTTAAACAAGCAAATAAACATGGTTTATATCCAGCAAAACACTCCAATTTTGGTGTATACCCCACTGACTTGGATTTTGGTAATAACTGCTTTAGCAGTGGTTCCGTGGAGCTCTGCTGACTTTCACCAGATGAAGATCCTGCTCAAAAAAAAATTTATTGGTGGTATTTGGGACAAAAGAAACAATAAGTCTGTTGACGTGCAACGAGGAGTGCAAATTAGAAAGCAGATACCGGTTCCCAGGCTGCTCCCATATGTAGCATTTCACGGCTTCATGCAGAATTTGACTTACAGAAGGCTGTTTGTGAAATATGCAGAGTGAGACATAACTCTTGACAGCGTAGATGTTCGCAGAGATTTATAATCAGACCTGCGGGGGACTGCCTGATGACAGGGTGTGTATGGCACTACCGTAACTTTACAACAGCTTACTTGGGAACGCGGTATTTCACGTCTCATTTCCTAGGACTCTTCCCACAAGCCAAGGGAGCTGTGGGAGCGTGGTGCTGAGGAGGGAAATCCTGCAGAACCAACGACCACACACTTCCCCAGCAGCCTCGTCTTCCCTGTCTCTTCAACATCCTTTGCTTTTGGCTGTTGCATTCAGCCTGAGACTGGATATTCCTGGGCTTCCTCCTGCAGCTCCCAAGTGAGTAGGATGGGCAGCGTTCCCTTGGCTACAGGTCAGCAGGGGATGAGCACTAAAGGGACGCTCACATCTGAAACAGCCACTCCAAATAGTGCTTCTGCCTGGTCTACACTGTATCAACACTGATTTACTAGCTTAATTCACTTTGCTGTACACTTCAGGTTGATGTGTGCTCTAAAGAATAAAATCTTCCTCCAGTCCCCCTGGTAAGGAGCTTTCTCTTTGCTGGCTTTTGTTCTGCTGATTTGTCTTCGAAATGGCCTCCAGATCCTGGCATGGACCCCACACAGGCAGCTTCATGGACCCACACAGCTTCATTCTGCAAGGGTTTTTGTTTTGTTTTGTTTGCTCATTTTTTATGTAACCATCTCTACGGGAGCTTTCTATTGGGCCTGGCAAAGAAATACATCAGCTCATGACGTGCTGCCTGGTCACCCTGGGACAGCTGATGCAGCTCAGCCCAGATTTTGGCATCACAAGCCTGTCTTTTACTGAGATTAAATGGACATTTGCTGTTGACCTCAGTAAGGGAAGCAGCAGTCACCAGCTAACCCCTGGCAGGGTCGATGTTGCAGCAGTCTGTGTATTAGGAGGCCAGAAGGGCAAAGCCTTCAGCCTCAGCGTGCTGGAAGACCAGGCTCGTGCCCGCATGTGACCGGCCTCTCCTACCCAAGGGCACCCGACTGCCACCGATTCTGCCCTTCAGAGCACTAGGGACCTAATCACATCTGCGGAGCTCTTGCCACTGCTCACGTGACTGGACTTAAAACACGTTTTAATTGATCTGACCTTGTGTGGGAACTACCCGTAGTGTCCTAATGTGCTGCTCTCTGGGAGGCACGTGCAGCGCTCCAGGGCACAGGCAGCAGAGAAACCAGCAGAATTTTAAGAGTTTGGCCTTTGCCTGGAAAAAATGACTTTTAAACACTGGCTCACCTAGAGCTCTGCCTGCATCCGTAACAGTGACACTCCATTTGTCAGCACCTGGCCCTGATACACTTATAAACGTCTCTTGTTTTGAAGGGTGCCACTCATTTTGTTGTGCATTACCATTTAAATGAGTTACATTTGTACCTAAAGCCTTCAGTCTCATGGGGCTAAGCGCTGTACAAACACAATTTTAAAAAATCTAAACAGGGTAGGAAGGGGAAGGACAAAGTGTGTTTCCCTCCAAACTGTGCACATAACAGTGCTGAGGGAAACCTCCCGAGCTGGTAGCTGGAGCACCCTACACAGGCTCCATTGGGTCCCATTTTCAAACCTCTCAGTTTTCAAAGTGAAAAAATGTTATTTACCTCGATGGCAGGAAATGAGAGAAAACAAAGCTTTCCCTTCAGCTTCTGGGAAAAGAAACACGTAGAGAAAAACGTAGTGATGTATTCTCATTAGGAAGGAAAACGCAAGAGGCCAGACTGCATTTCTTTGCCGAAGCTGTGTACGTACTGGGCAGATATAAAGAGGTGCCAAGGACCCAGCATAGGCACGTGCTGCCCCCTGCAAAACTCTATCTTTGCTCATATCACTGCTCAGCCTCCTCCCACTTGAATCCTTTGCAAGGCCTATGTGTACCTTTGATGCAGTGATTTTATAAAATTATTTTGCAAATTCAGGTTTTCCCTGTTTTTTTTTTCTTTTCCCAGTCCTTACTTTGTTTTTGGGCATCTTCTGTTTTTCCTGCTCTGACTTCTTTGGGTGTCTCTCTCAGTCTCTGAATT